AACCCCCGCAACCACAACTAGGTGTGTACAACTAGGTGAGTACATACACACAACACACACACACACGTGTGCGCGCGTGCAAACGCACACAAATTCCAGGAGGTCTTCAACTTCGAGCAAGGAGAAGTTCCCGAGATAAGAGAGGGAATAGTTAACAAGGCACCACTGGAGGAGTTTGGGATTACCAGTTGGGAGGTAAGGAAGCTTTTGCTAGAGTTGAATGTGACAAAGGCTATTGGTTTGGATGGAATCTCACCTTGAATACTAAAGGAATGAGCAAGCAGAAGCACTGTGCCTGCCACTCTTCATGGTGTATAACAAATCACTGGTAACAGGTGAACTGCCAAAAATTTGAAAGATGACTAATTTTGTTCCGATATACAAGAAGGGGGATAGAGTGGAGGCACTGAACTACAGGCCAGTGTCCCTAACTTGCATACCATGCAAGTTTGATGGAGAAGATTGTGCGAAAAAATCTAGTGGAACTTCTGAAGAGAAAGAACTTTGTAATACAACATCAACATGTGTTCAGGGATGGCAAGTTATGCCTCAAAGGATTAATTGAATTCTACGACCAGGCAAGAAAAAGAGAGAGGTAGGCAGACTGCATATTTTTGGATTGTCAGAAAGCCTTTGACACAGTTCCACACAAGAGACTAATGCACAAGCTGGAGATGCAGGCAGGAATGAAAGGTAAGGTACTCCATTGGATAAGGGAGTGACTAAGCAACAGAAGACAGCGAGTCACTGTGAGGGGTGAGGTCTCAGATTGGCGAGGCATTTCCAGTTGACTCCCACAGGATCTTTACTGTTTCTGATATAAGTAAATGATCTCCCATGGGGAATAGACTCGTTTCTCTCATTTTTTGCTGATGATGGAGAAATTATGATTAGGATTAAGTCAGAGGAAGATAGTATGAGGCTACAAGATGACCTAAACAAACTGAAGGAATGGTCCAACAAATGGCTACTAATGTTCAACCCGAGTAATTGTAAGGTAATGAAACTAGGCAGTGAAAATAGGAGGGCAGACACAGGATACCGAATTGGAGCTGAAATCCATCACGAAACGGACAGAGAGAAAGATCTAGGAGTTGATATCACACCAACCCTCTCTCAAGAAGGCCACATTAAAAGACTAACATCAGCGGCGTATGCGAGGCTGGCTAACATCAGAACTGCCTTCAGGAACCTGTGTAAGGAATCCTTCAGCCCTTGTATACCACATATGTAAGACCAATCCTGGAGTATGCGGCCCCAGCATGGAGGCCGTACCTTGTCAAGCACAAGACGAAGCTGGAAAAAGTTCAGAGGTATATCACTAGGCTAGTCTCAGAACTATGAGGCATGAGTTACGAGGAAAGGCTGCGGGAAATACACTTCACGTCGCTGGAAGACAGGAGAGCTCGGGGAGACAAGATCACTACCTACAAAATTCTCAGAGGAATTGACAGGGAAGATAAAGATAAAATGTTTAACATAAAATGTTTAACGCGAACAAGGGGACACAGGTGGAAACTGAGTACCCACATGAGCCACAGGGACGTTAGAAAGAACTTTTTCAGTGTCAGAGTAGTTAACAGCTGTAATGCATTAGACAGTGATGTGGTGGAGGCTGACTCCATATACAGTTTCAAATGTAGATATGATAGAGCCCATTAGGCTCAGGAATCTGTACATCAGTTGACTGACAGTTGAGAGGCGGGACCAAAGAGCCAGAGCTCAACCCCCACAAGCCCAACTAGGTGAGTACACACACACACACACACAACTCTAGCAGTCGATATCATGCCGAACCTGTCTCCTGAAACGCAGCTCAAAAGAACATCATTAGAAGCGTATGCGAGACTGGCGACCATCAGAACTTCTTCAGAAAACTGTGTAAGGAATCATTCAGAACCTTGTATACCACTGTTATGACCTAGTGATTGCGGCTCGAGATTTTATCGGAGTTTTTCCCCTCAAAACTCCCAGTAAAACATGCTGTGCTCTATCACAACTACTGGATGGGGAAATTAATACCCCACAAATAAATTACCGCCATTAACATGCAAACATTCTCACATACATACAGTTAGGATTATGTGTAAGGGAACCGGTCCAGCATTTAGGACCTAAAATCAACAACCATTATTCAGTTGTGTGTGTGTATGTTTGTGTATAAAGTATAAAGCTGATCAGAATTGCATTTCACCATTATAAATTCACATTAATGCATTCATAAATCTATGTATTTACATATGTAGCTGAGCCTAACATTTTAAAAGCACTACGATCACCTTCTGTGGTTGTTCAATAAATCTCGGAACTGTATGTTTGACAAATCTTTCACCCTGTCCATTGAGGACAGAAGAAAATGTATATATGCTAGTTAGCATTGTTGTGGGAAAAACCTGTCGAGATTGATAGGAGAGGAGACTACCAGGGACTTGTACTGAGCTAAGTTAAAAAATTACTGTCTGCAAATTAATTCAACTAAAATCTCTAGCTAGGGTTGTAAATCCTAGCTCCTCTTTTCCTAATGACAGATTGTGGGCTGTAAGGGGCAAGTGGGGTGAATGAATTAGTTGATTGAAGATCCACAGTCCACCTGCCAACAGGTATCTCACATCAGCTTGTATTTTATACAAGGATAAGATTTAATAAATTCAGTTATATGACTGAACACCGGCTCTGTTCAAATCAGAGATTTAAACATGTACATAGTCTAGCCTAGCACCATAACTATTAACAGCCAATATATTCTTATACTATAAAATACAATTTAAATTGTATAAGTAAAAGTATGATAAATGACCTTAAATATGGTTTAAGTACTGTTAACTTAGTACTAAAGATTATATTCAATTAAATGAACTTATATGATAACTTAAAATAACTAAGCAAGCAATTGTTAACTTAATTTATATATTCAAGTATATATACATGTATATTTATTCAATTTATATGATGAGGTACAGTCAGCTTGATTGAATCTTTTCCCACACAATGGACACTTATGATCTCTTGTTTGTTTATTGTGACTGAATCTTTTCTTACACAATGGACTCTCATGAGGTTTAGTGCTTGAATAAAGATGCAACTGCTGCATTACAATATTAATAAACTTACTGAGATATGAGGCGTTGCCTCGCTTTATAACCGACAGACAGACTTATAGGATATTAAAGTCATACAAGCATACAATTGGCCAATTAATATACTAAAATAACCTTCAATATACTTCTTTGAATGCCAGAGTGCCTGTCTGATAGTGTGCCAGACTTGATAACTCTCTTGTCGCGAGTTTAGGCATGATATTTTATATCACAGCTTTGCTGTAGACTGTTCATGTAGCGTTGCTACGTGATTTTCCTTTAACTGCAGTTGCAGAAAGATGAGGGTGGAGACAGTCACTGTGTGCTCCACTATTCACTCTTATTTTATATAAATGTTCTAGGAATTTTCCTTGAAGATATTGTCCAGGTACTCCCCTAGTTCTAAAGAGTGTTCACTTGTGATAAAGATAATTAGATAAGGTGTTCTGAGTTAAATAATGTTCTCTAAGGATCTGTCACACTTGTTCACTGTTTTGTCAACAAACGCATGGAGCACGGGGTGTGGTGGGCACTTCTTCTTCCCCATATGCTCCTCCCTCTCCCTTGAAGGGTAGCTTTCAATGAATATTGATTGATTATTTTTACAGTCTAGACATATGATTGAGATAAGATGTGATTATAATATAATTAGATATAAGATTTAAAGATTATAAGTAGTACTTGATAGTACTACTGATTCTTATTAAGGATTTGATTTATAATCCTTACCGGAAATCGATTAATGTTCCAATAGTTTTTTAATTAAGAAATCCTTCTAGAAGATTCTGGATCCTTGAGAGATCATGCACAAAGTCACGTAGGCATCTATAGGGCCCTATGGCGTACGTGATCATAGTGGCATTGTCATCTAGGATCAAGATGTATAATGAATCTATAGTGATTCTATAATGATTCTGATTTGATATAGAAATAATACATTTCTTAGATGATAATATTGATAGGTGGGTAAAATTTCCCACAATTGTAAATGTGTGGCCATGTCTGTGGCAGAAATTAATAATAATAAAAAAACACTATGATTTCAGCATATACCAGTCATACCATGATCATGCTGGTGTATGCAAGGTCATAACATGCAGTCCTTTCTGACTGAGGACATTTGTATTAGTCCCCCCCCCCCCTAAATAAATAAATCAAACAGATATATCCTTCTCCCTCACTGTATTATCTTGTGAGTGTTACACATATGTGGTGTTCTCTGGCAACCTTCGCTCTATTCTCTGCTCCACTAAATCTCTATTCACTTCTATCTCCATTTGTCTCGTTTTCTCTTTTTCCTGCTCAACTTTAGTGTTCTCTTTTTCTTTTTCTTGTTCTATCTCTAGTTCTTATAACCCGGTTTTCTCTTTTCTTTTTCTACCTCTAGTTTAGTTTTTTCTTTTTTCCTCTCGTGCTAACTTCAATTCTCGTATTCTGGTTTTCTCTATTATTTTTTCTTATTCATTTTTCATCTGTAGTTAGAAACTGCAGACGCTCTCGTTGCGTTTGAAACTCTAGCTGGAAGCTTTCCAAGCTTCTGTTCCGGCTGCTTCTGCTACTGCGGCTACTCTTACTACTCCTCTTTGACTCCTGTGACCTCACTTCATCTTGCCCGTCATCGTTCCCTCCACTTTTAGCTCCCTTTTGAGCTCCTTGCTCTACCACTTCACTCCTGGCTCTCAATTCCTTACGGATCTCATCCCTCATCCCTGCTTCCTTGGATGACTTTATCCTAATACCACATCTCTCTGCATTCTGTCTCAACTGTTCCTTTGTATTTTCGTCAAAGTTCTCAGGTTTCCCTGAATCCACAAACATTTGCGCCTTATCCATCTTACCCTCTGAGTTTTCTAGAAGCAAGGAAAATAACATGACCTGCAGTAACACGCGCTTATAACAGTTCCCTTCTCTCGGACACGGGCTATGACAGCTCTCCTCTCGGACACAGGCTATGGGTATGACAGTTCTCCTCTCGGACACAGGCTATGGGTATGACAGTTCTCCTCTCGGACACAGGCTATGGGTATGACAGTTCTCCTCTCGGACACAGGCTATGGGTATGACAGCTCTCCTCGCGGTCACGGGCTATGGGTATGACAGCTCTCCTTGCGGACACAGGCTATGGGTATGACAGCTCTCCTCTCGGACACGGGCTATGGGTATGACAGCTCTCCTCTCGGTCACGGGCTATGGGTATGACAGCTCTCCTCTCGGTCACGGGCTATGGGTATGACAGCTCTCCTCTCGGTCACGGGCTATGGGTATGACAGCTCTCCTCTCAGACGCAGGGGTCCAATTTTATCAGGAGGTGAACCTCACTATTCCCTTCACCCAACTCTTAACTAATCTTCCATTATTCCCCTCTCCCAAGTCCTCTACACTCTCCCCTCTTCACAATTGCTTTGCTCCGTACACACACTCTGGCAAGAGAGCATACCCGAGCCGCTCCACACACCATGATCCTCGCAGAAGTGTTCAGGCGACCGACTACATTCCAGACAATATTCCTCCTCCCTGGAGGCAGCATCTCCAGCCTAGTGTGCCCAATGGATTAAAAGCGAGCCGGAGTGTTTACTCAGCCAATAGTTGAATGTTTTTAATGCTGAAGTTAACATTTTACCTGTTAGATAACCAGGCCAGATATCACGAAAGTTAGGCAATATTATTAATGTAAATTTGTGATCTTAAAAGGTAAATTTTTCCAGTACAGAGATGATGGGACAAATGTTGATTGATGACTACAGTATGTTGGTACTTATATTGTGTGAGAGGGCATGCACCAAGTGAGCGGGCAGAGAGGGCATGCACCAGGTGAGTAGGCAGAGAGGGCATGCACCAGGTGAGTAGGCAGAGAGGGCATGCACCAGGGGAGTGGGTAGAGAGGGCATGCACCAGGGAAGCGGGCAGAGAGGGCATGCACCAGGTGAGTGGGTAGAGAGGGCATGCACCAGGTGAGTGGGCAGAGAGGGCATGCACCAGGTGAGTGGGCAGAGAGGGCATGCACCAGGTGAGTGGGCAGAGAGGGCATGCACCAGGTGAGAGGGCAGAGAGGGCATGCACCAGGTGAGAGGGCAGAGAGGGCATACACCAGGTGAGAGGGCATGCACCAGGGGAGCGGGCAGAGAGGGCATGCACCAGGGGAGCGGGCAGAGAGGGCATGCACCAGGGGAGCGGGCAGAGAGGGCATGCACCAGGTGAGTGGGCAGAGAGGGCATGCACCAGGTGAGTGGGCAGAGAGGGCATGCACCAGGTGAGTGGGCAGAGAGGGCATGCACCAGGTGAGCGGGCAGAGAGGGCATGCACCAGGTGAGGCCCACAGCTCGGATGGGGTTCGACAGCAGGCAAGTATTTATAACTTTTCCAGAGAGTCTGGAAGAAGTTGCTGGGACGAGTGAAGTTTTCCCCTTGGACCCCTAGCATTGGCACTGGGAAGTTTGCTCATCAGGGGAGAGAAGTCAGGGAGGCAGCATCCTTCCCTGAGCACGGTGTAAGGGAGAGAACTCAGGGAGGGAGACTGGTCAGCAAGAAGGACTGTGACCTGTTTCACTGCAGTTGTTCTAGGAATAAACTTGGTTTCAGACCGCATAGCGCCTCAGACGCTATAGGCTTGAGGCGCCTCCAAGACCCAGGCTGGAAACACTTGGTGTCCAGGCCAATCACACCTTCCTAGTGGGTGACACCATAATCCACCTGAACAACCAACCAAGCCACTCGATCGACCTGTCTAAATCCACCATGCACATCCGCATTCAGTCAATTACTACAGCCACTTGGTACACGTCAGTCACATAGACGTACTACCAGTATAAACCCCACAAGTGAACTCTTGGAAAAGGAACGAGTACCAGCAGACCTGCCACAGTCACCAGCAGTCAGGCCACCCACAGTCCTTAACGTACACATCCCAAGAAGAGAAACCATTTACCAAACGTTGATCCATAGAAAACACATCTGGGAAAACTTTCTGAGTCAGGCCAACTAATACAAAAGGGACCCAGGAACCTTCTGAAGGAAAATTAAACAAATGTGGAAGGGAATCACATTCAAAATGCCCACCAGAGGGAAAATTTTATATCTTAGGCAGAGCTGAGCCCTAATTGGTGGACGGTGGCCGTCCACTAATTAGCCTTCTCAAGGGAGGTTGAATGGAGGACTGACAAGGTCCCAGGTATTCAGCCAGAAAGATGGGTATTACAAATACTAGTGGGAGCTGTATCAAGTCCATGCTAGGCCAGGTGCTGTTGTCTTCTGCCTGCTTCTATCCCTTCCAGGCGTGCGTGTGGGAGGTGTGCAGAGAAGCTGCGCACCACCCCCGTCCACCACTTGGGGCTCAGCTCTGCTACCTTCGTGGGAGCTGGTGGCTGAGCGGACAGAACACTGGATCCGTGATTCTGTGGTCCCGGGTTTGATCCCGGACGCCGGCGAGAAACAATGGACAGTTTCTTTCACCCTGATGCCCTTGTTACCTTGCAGTAAATAAGTACCTGGGAGTTAGTCAGCTGTCACGGGCTGCTTCCTGGGGGTGGAGGCCTGGTCGAGGACCGGGCCGCGGGGACACTAAGCCCCAAAATCATCTCAAGATAATAAGAAGAAGATATAAAATTTACCCTCTAGCGGGCACTTTGAATGTGGGTTCCCTTCACAGTTGTTTAATTTTCCTCGGGAAGGCTCCTGGGTCCCTGTTGTATTAGTTGGCCGGACTCACAAGGCTCCTGGGTCCCTGTTGTATTAGTTGGCCGGACTCACAAGGCTCCTGGGTCCCTGTTGTATTAGTTGGCCGGACTCACAAGGCTCCTGGGTCCCTGTTGTATTAGTTGGCCGGACTCATAAGGTTTTCCCAGATGTGTTTTCTATGGATCAACGTTATATAAATGGTGTCTCTTCTTGGGGTTTGTACTCACCTAGTTGTGCTTGCGGGGGTTGAGCTCTGGCTCTTTGGTCCCGCCTCTCAACTGTCAATCAACAGGTGTACAGGTTCCTGAGCCTATTGGGCTCTATCATATCTACACTTGAAACTGTGTATGGAGTCAGCCTCCACCACATCACTTCCTAATGCATTCCATTTGTCAACCACTCTGACACTAAAAAAGTTCTTTCTAATATCTCTGTGGCTCATTTGGGCACTCAGTTTCCACCTGTGTCCCCTAGTGCGTGTGCCCCTTGTGTTAAACAGCCTGTCTTTATCAACCCTGTCAATTCCCTTGAGGATCTTGAATGTGGTGATCATGTCCCCCCTACGTTTGTACGTTAAGGCCTGTTAGTGTTGGTGACTGGCAGGCCTGCTGGTACTCGTTAGTCTTCCCCGATTTCCCTTGTGGGTTTATACTGGTAGTACGTTCGTGTGGCTGACGTGTTCCATCGCTTCAGCCATCCGCCCAGAACACTACAGCTCCAGGTGAGCTCCTGTCATTGATATTATATCTTATCCTTACCATATCACGTGGTCGGCGCCATTAACCCCTAGGCGACAGCCGCCACACAACCTTTGGGCTCCTTTAAACCGCGCCTCACCCACCTCGTCTATACATTTCTTGACGACGAAGAGCAATATATCAAGATCAAAGACCCAAAAGACCTGGTGAACCTCTGAATAGTTAGCAAAATTTGTGTTAAGTTCAAGTGTTGAACTGACGTTCAGAGTCAAAGTGGTGATGGAGGATTTTGTCCGACTCTGAAGCTGATGTTCAAGGTCCCAGAGGTGAGTTCCAAGTTGGAGTGGGACGTGGATATCCCTCGTGTTTGGTTTGATGAGTGTGTAGGGTTATAGGTTGCCTCTTGGCGGTTCCCAAGTTGCCTCTTGGCGGTGTTGGCAAGGAGATAGACCTTGTTGTATAATATTCCTGTCACTTATTGCATGGTGGCACTGAGATATTAAAAATGTGTGTTGCTTTACATTTCCATTGTAATATTTTTTATACTTCTTGGTAGTTCAAGTACTTACCAAGTCCTTCCTTGTAACAAAAATGCAATAAATCTTCAATTAATTAAATGTTTCTCTCAGAGGTAGGGGTATCTTACGACCCAGGTAGCATACCTGGTTCTCACACATAAATTTACGTACTATATGTGGCGTTGCATATCTACATATATATATATATATATATATATATATATATATATATATATATATATATATATATATATATATATATATATATATATATATATATACATTAATTTTCTATGTACATTGTTCCTTTTACTTTTTCATCATTAAATTGTATCTACTAGGAGCAACCTGATGTATCATTTACATGCATGTTATTATTACCCCTAGAAAATACCCTACTGTCAGGTACACGAGCCTTGCTGAACTAATTGTACAAGAATGTAACAACTCTTGTATATAAAAAAAAAAAAAAATTAGATAACATAATGTCTTCTCACGGACATAACAACTTAGGATAAAAACCCACACTTCCGTAGTTGTGAAATTTTATGTAAGGAATTTACACCAAGTGTCTCGCACTGAGTGCTTTATCAACGTCTGAGTGTGTCATTAGGACGAGACTTAATCTCACCGTGTAATAAGGCTGTTATCCTTGGTCCAATGGTCTTGTCCAACTGCTGATGTTCCTGCGATAATGCCTTCTACAGAAATATGATCATATGTCCTTTTTGTAACCCTGTAATTCTAGGAGCTGGAGTTGTTATTGATAAAGGTGTTAATCTGGATGCTATTCATCCTAACCCTCTTCATACTTCAAGGAACGTGGCTAATGGGACTGCTTTCATACATCCATTTATTGAGATCTATTTTTTAATTTCTCTCAAAATCATTTTCCTAGTAAAGCTATCCTCCTACGAGGGGCCTCGTAGCCTGGTGGATAGCGCGCAGGACTCGTAATTCTGTGGCGCGGGTTCGATTCCCGCACGAGGCAGAAACAAATGGGCAAAGTTTCTTTCACCCTGAATGCCCCTGTTACCTAGCAGTAAATAGGTACCTGGGTGTTAGTCAGCTGTCACGGGCTGCTTCCTGGGGGTGGAGGCCTGGTCGAGGACCGGGCCGCGGGGACACTAAAGCCCCGAAATCATCTCAAGATAATCTCAAGAAATCCTCTGAAGTTAAGCTTCTGTTGCCAGTGAAGGTATTCAGAGTATTTATTAGAACTCCACATAAGGGGCATAACTGGCCGACCCCTCACAGTGTTCAAGAGAGAACTGGATAAGCACCTCCAAAGGATACCTGATCAACCAGGCTGTGACTCATACGTCAGGCTGCGAGCAGCCGCATCTAACAGCCTGGTTGATCAGTCCAGCAACCAGGAGGCCTGGTCGACGACCGGGCCGCGGGGAGACTAAGCCCCGGAAGCACCTCAAGGTAGCCTCAAGGAACTCCTTCCACTACCTTCCTTGTTCTAATATTACTTTATAGATTATTTCACATTTCTTATAATTAATATTAAGATATTTTACCCAACTATGGTTAGCTACAGCACTCTTACCAGCCATAATTCTACGTGCCTTCTTATGTTCTGCAATTCTGGGGCCAGATTCACGAAAACACTTACGAACCTGTACAACTTTTCTCAATCTTTGGAGGCTTTGTTTACAATTATTAAACAGTTAATGAGCTCCGAAGCACCAGGAGGCTGTTTATAACAATACCAACAGTTGAATGGGAAGTTTTCATGCTTGTAAACTGTTTAATAAATGTTATCAAAGCCGTCAAAGATTGATGAAAGATGTTCACGTTCGTAAGTGCTTGCGTAAGTGCTTTCGTGAATCTGGCCCCTGATCTCCGGTTTTCCCTTTCCCCAACATAGACTTCATTACAATCTCTACCTGGTAATATATAAACTCCTCCACGATTACTAACCTCTCCTGCTCTATTCTTACTAATCATTTCCCTGATTGTATTTGGATAATTGAAAACGATTTTGTTTTGTATCCGTTACCTAACGGGTCAGTTTACTAACAAGAAGGTTACAAGGCAATTTCAAGACTATTTTCTTACCAGGATTCCAAATGCCTTTCTCACTTTTAGTGTAATGGATGCCTTTAGATTTGCTGTGTGCTTTTTCAACTAACAGCGATAGATAACCTAAATCCAGAAAAATCTTATATAAGTCTCCGTGTCTCCGCGGTGTAGTGGTAAGACACTCGCCTGGCGTTCCGCGAGCGCTTTGTCATGGGTTCGTATCCTGGCCGGGGAGGATTTACTGGGCGCAATTCCTTAACTGTAGCCTGTTTAACGCAACAGTAAAATGTGTACTTGGATGAAAAAACGATTCTTCGCGGCGGGGATCGTATTCCAGGGACCTGCCCGAAACGCTACGCGTACTAGTGGCTGTACAAGAATGTAACAACTCTTGTATATATCTCAAAAAAAAGTATTTAAGTTCAGCTTCTAGGTAAGACGGATCCCAAATCATATATGCTCTAAGATAAAGACCGGTGAGTACACATTACATAACTGAATTAGAATGACAAGAGAGAAAATGAATATGCGAGTTTGAGTGTCTTCTTCCTGAAAGTATGTAATGTAAACTGGTCCTCTTCCTATAATGCAATCCAAAAAGGGGAGTTCTTTATTAACTTATTTTTCCATAGTAAATTGCACGAAATGCTGTAGGCTATTGTGACACATGACCATATTTCCATTGAAGGCATTACCACATGTATTTCGCCAGTCTGGAATAGAGGTGACAAGGTCAGGCGGTCAAGAAGGATAAGAGGACTGGACTTAGGATAGTAGCCCCATTAGACGATGAGATTTAAGTCTCGTCCTAATCACACACTCAGGCCTTGATAAAGTACTCAGGAGAGTGCGAAAAACTTGGTGTAAATTCCTTACATCAAATTTCACAAATACAAAAGTGTGGGTTTTTATCCCATCCTATAGGGGCCGTGTTGTCACAGACTGATACAAAAGGGGCAAAACATCCTGTGGCTTATTATTCAAAGAAATTAATTGATTGTGAACGGATCCATTCAGTGATAGAAAAAAACAAACATTGACCCTTGAGAGCACTGTTGAACACTTTGATGTCTATTTGAAGTCTATCTAGTAATAGTTATTCAATTTTGGTCAGATCTGACCATCTTTTGACGTTCTTAGCACAGTTTCGTCATAAGAATCTTAGGTTAACCAAATGGAGCCTAAACCTCCAACAGTATGCACTTATTACTGAAAACATAAAAGGTGTTGAGAATGTATTTGCAGATGCCTTATCACACATCTAAAATATAAATTTGTTTTCTTTTAAGAAATAAAACCAATTCTACTAGAGGGATGGTGTAACAATGTCAACGCCATCTGTTGAGCGCACCCCACCCCATTTTCTGTTCCCCGATGGAAGGCTGAGAACTATCTAACACCTGTTCCTTCTTACTATACAATTCTTATTCCTCAGAAGTGCTGTAGGGGGGATACTATGGTACCTTGGGCAGTTCACCAGGAGTGACCGGCAAGAGCAGTCCTGAACGCAAGACTTGTTTCAGTAGGAACAAGTAGGGTCTAGTCAGTGGACACTGTGAACTGTTTGTGGTAACCAGCGAGCTATTGTTGGTTAGACTGACGTGTCCCGCGGTGGCCCAGTTGTATTACTGTATTCTGTGTTATTTACCTCCATTCCCTATGGATTGACTATTACTGCCAGTTCTTAATAACGTGCCTATGACTCGGTCTTAGATCTGGTAAGAAGATTCACTAAGGCCCAATAGAAAGTTTTATGAAAAGAACCTGGTTACTGGCTAAGTGAGGTCGTACCACGGATATAGAGGAGTACTTGATAGAGTCGCGGCTCCCACACGACTGCTCTACGGGCAGTCACAGCCTCCACCACCACAGCCAGCATCCCAAGGTGGGTTTAATCAGATTAAATGTAAATCTTCTCGTTTCCAAGAACCTTGAATCACCCTTTGTGACCTCTTGGCTGAAACATTGTCTTGTGCAGGCTAATTTAGGATGTCTTGCTCTCTTTGACCTTGCCTCAGTGTGTGACCACAGTCTGATTACTCACATGTACTTCCCTTCCTTTTAACCATCATTTGTTAAGTGTTATAGGTCTTGATTCACTAGTAATACTTACTTATAATACACTTAACTTGTCGTAATACTTACGATTCACTTTAAATACTTACTCCTAGGTTGTAGATTACAACACCAGACTAGACAGCAAGACCAGACTAGACAGCAAGACCAGACTAGGCAGCAAGACCAGACTAGGCAGCAAGACCAGACTAGGCAGCAAGACCAGACTAGACAGCAAGACCAGACTAGGCAGCAAGACCAGACCAGACAGCAAGACCAGACCAGGCAGCAAGACCAGACTAGACAGCAAGACCAGACCAGGCAGCAAGACCAGACCAGGCAGCAAGACCAGACCAGGCAGCAAGACCAGACCAGGCAGCAAGACCAGACCAGGCAGCAAGACCAGACCAGGCAGAAAGACAACACAGCAACAACGTCTCCATAATGGTTCAATATATCGATAAATAGATTTCTCAAAACTAGGAATTTTTAGGATTAAAAACGACCCTTAAAGAGGACTATGAAGACTCAGACGTAATTTGCATCATTTAGAAGAGAAAAATATATTTAATGTAATTAATAATATTGACAAGCTGTAAGACATTGGAGAGAAATGAAATGTTGAGAAGCTGAGTCAGCAATTCCTCACCTGACTTACTTAAGGTGAAGCGTGAGGCTCACTCAAGCGAGGGGGGGGGGGCCTGACAGCTGAGTGGACAGCGCTCGGCTGTCCTAAGGAAAGGTTTCCATAGTCCTAAGGAAACAAATGGGCAGAGATTCTTTCATCCTGATGCTCCTGTTCACCTAGCAGTGAATAGGTACCTGGGCGTTAGACAGCTGCTACTGGCTACTTCCTGGGGATGTGTGACAAAAAGGTGTGGTCCAGGACCGGGCCGAGAGGACGCTAAGCCCCGAAATCATCTCATGATCTAACTCTCGCCTGTCAAGCACAAAGTGAAGCCTGAGGCTTCCTCACCTGACAGGTAAGGTGTTGAAGCCTGAGGCTTCCTCACCTGACAGGTAAGGTGTTGAAGCCTGAGGCTTCCTCACCTGACAGGTAAGGTGTTGAAGCCTGAGGCTTCCTCACCTGACAGGTAAGGTGTTGAAGCCTGAGGCTTCCTCAGGCGAGAGAGGCAGCAGGTGAGCGCCCACAACAAGAGCCAGTGTTTGATGTGGTGGTCACCCCCCTCCACCGTGCCCCCATTAAGCGGTGGCCCCCTCCCCGCACCCCAGAAGTGACCCCTCCCCCCCACCAGCGGTCACCTCCCATCCCCAGACCCGGGCAGTGAGAGAGTAATCCCCTTGAGGCATGAGACGCCTCCAGCTGCCCCAAGTTCACGGTTTGATCAATTGGATTCATCAATAAATATGATTAAATATAAAAATGTAGATAAATACCACGATCGGAGTAGATTTTAATAGTAGATAAAGTTTCGCTAGTAGATATATATATCTCATTTAGCGGTTAATGAAACAGACATAATGAAGGGAGCCGGTCGGCCGAGCGGACAGCACGCTGGACTTGTGATCCTGTGGTCCTGGGCTCGATCCCAGGCGCCGGCGAGAAACAATGGGCAGAGTTTCTTTCACCCTATGCCCCTGTTACCTAGCAGTAAAATAGGTATCTGGGTGTTAGTCAGCTGTAACGGGCTGCTTCCTGGGGGGTGGAGGTCTGGTCGAGGACCGGGCCGCGGGGACACTAAAAAGCTCCGAAATCGTCTCAAGATAACCTCAAGATAAGGGTTGTCATCTCTCTGGATAGTGAGAGTTGACCCCGGGTCACTAGATGAGTCTTTCCTGTCTTGGTGAAGCCTGGTAGAGCCTTGGTGAAGCCTAGTAGAGTCTTGGTGAAGCGCGGTAGAGCCTTGGTGATGTATGGTAGAGCCTTTGGTGAAGCCTAATAGAGGCTTTGTGAAGCCTGGTAGAGCCTTGGTGAAGCCTGGTAGAGCCTTGGTGAAGCCTGGTAGAGCCTTAGTGAAGCCTGGTAGAGCCTTGTGATGCCTGGTAGAGCCTTGGTGAAGCCTGGTAGAGCCTTGGTGAAGCCTGGTAGAGCCTTGGTGAAGCCTGGTAGAGCCTTGGTGAAGCCTGGTAGAGCCTTGGTGAAGCCTGGTAGAGCCTTGGTGAAGCCTGGTAGTCTTGGTGAAGCCTGGTAGTCTTGGTGAAGCCTGGTAGAGCCTTGGTGAAGCCTGGTAGTCTTGGTGAAGCCTGGTAGTCTTGGTGAAGCCTGGTAGAGCCTTGGTGAAGCCTGGTAGTCTTGGTGAAGCCTGGTAGTCTTGGTGAAGCCTGGTAGTCTTGGTGAAGCCTGGTAGCCTTGGTGAAGCCTGGTAGCCTTGGTGAAGCCTGGTAGCCTTGGTGAAGCCTGGTAGTCTTGGTGAAGCCTGGTAGTCTTGGTGAAGCCTGGTAGTCTTGGTGAAGCCTGGTAGCCTTGGTGAAGCCTGGTAGCCTTGGTGAAGCCTGGTAGCCTTGGTGAAGCCTGGTAGCCTTGGTGAAGCCTGGTAGCCTTGGTGAAGCCTGGTAGTCTTGGTGAAGCCTGGTAGTCTTGGTGAAGCCTGGTAGCCTTGGTGAAGCCTGGTAGTCTTGGTGAAGCCTGGTAGTCTTGGTGAAGCCTGGTAGTCTTGGTGAAGCCTGGTAGCCTTGGTGAAGCCTGGTAGCCTTGGTGAAGCCTGGTAGTCTTGGTGAAGCCTGGTAGCCTTGGTGAAGCCTGGGGGTTGCAGTGTATTTCACTGTTTTGAGTTTAGTTGTGAGTTGTGTGTGTGTGTGTATTCACCTAGTTGTGCTTGCGGGGGTTGAGCTTTGCTCTTTAGGCCCGCCTCTCAACTGTCAATTAACTGTTTCTACTACGACTTTTTTTTTCCACACCACACACACATACACCAGGAAACAGCCTGTGACAGATGACTAACTCCCAGGTACTTATTTACTGATAGATAACAGGGCCATTAGTTGAAAGAAACTCTGCCCATCGTTTCTCGCCGGCGCCCGGGATCGAACACGGGATCACAGGATCACGTGTACAGCGTGCTGTCCATTCGGCCACCGCACACCACACACATATCGTGTATGTACTCACCTAGTTGTTCTTGCGGGGGTTGAGCTCTGGCTCTTTGGTCCCGCCTCTCAACCGTCAATCAACAGGTGTACAGGTTCCTGAGCCAATTGGGCTCTATCATATCTACAGTTGAAACTGTGTATGGAGTCAGCCTCCACCACATTACTTCCTAATGCATTCCATTTGTCAACCACTCTGACACTAAAAAAGTTCTTTCTAATATCTCTGTGGCTCATTTGGGCACTCAGTTCCCACCTGTATCCCCTAGTGCGTGTGCCCCTTGTGTTAAATAGCCTGTCTTTATCAACCCTGTCGATTCCCTTGAGAATCTTGAATGTGGTGATCATGTCATCCCTAACTCTTCTGTCTTCCAACGAAGTGAGGTTTAATTCCCGTAGTCTCTCCTCGTAGCTCATACCTCTCAGCTCGGGTACTAGTCTGGTGGTAAATCTTTGAACCTTTTCCAGTTTAGTCTTATGCTTGACTAGATATGGACTCCATGCTGGAGCCGCATACTCCAGGATTGATCTGACATATGTGGTATATAATGTTCTGAAAGATTCCTTACACAAGTTTCTAAAGGCCGTTCTTATGTTAGCCAACCTGGCATATGCTGCTGATGTTATCCTCTTGATATGAGCTTCAGGGGACAGGTCTGGCGTGATATCTACCCCCAGGTCTTTCTCTCTCACTCTGACTCTTTAAGTACCTCATCTCCCAAATGATACCTTGTATCTGGTCTCCTGCTTCCTACCCCTATCTTCATTACATTACATTTGCTTGGGTTAAACTCTAACAGCCATTTGTTCGACCATTCCTGCAGCTTGTCCAGGTCTTCTTGAAGCCTCAAGCTGTCCTCCTCTGTCTTAATCCTTCTCATAATTTTGGCGTCGTCAGCAAACATTGAGAGGAATGAGTCTATACCCTCTGGGAGATCATTTACGTATATCAGAAACAGGATAGGTCCAAGTACAGAGCCCTGTGGGACTCCACTGGTGACTTCACGCCATTCTGAGGTCTCACCCCTCACTGTAACTGTAACTGTATGTGTGTGTGTGTGTGTGTGTGTGTGTGACAGGTTGTGAGGAGAGAGAGAGAGAGAGATGCTCAGACCTTGACACGTGCGATTATTATATTAGCGATTTTCAATTTAATTTGCGAGTTTGGCGATTTTGTTAACATCAAATGTGTTATCATTTCAATTTGGAGTATTTTTTGGAGACATTAAGGGGACTTCGAGGAATTATTAAACTAAGTGCTAATTTGTTGAGAAAATGATTTCTATCAGAGACTGCTTGTGAATAAAGCAGCGCTTGTAGGGAGGAAGTGTTGGTGACCCTTGACCTTGCCCTGTGTACAAGTCTACGGTGACAGTACTAGGGCGCAGTTCCTTCATTCTTTCTTGTATTCTAGTTTTAAGTTATGGTTTTTTAATAACTTTAGATTTTGCTTTTGTTATTTAAGTTAAGGCCTTAGTGTCCAGTGAGGTCTGGCACTTCGGAGCTGCTTTGAATTATTTGGACGGAATATACTATTCGATTTTCTCCAAAAGGTTCAAAGGTGCAAGCGAATCAATATACAGTTCGTAGCAACAGTTGCTGTGTTGAGCTGTCCTGGTAGAGATAGGCTTAGGACGCTATGCGGTATCTCTGAGGGCGCTGTAAGGCGGCCTGAGGGCTAGAATCTGAGGTAATCTCGTGAAAGTGCAAAGGACACTGAGGGATGAAGTAGGCAGATCTTAGAGCAAAGAATTACCAGTAGCGGTTGGGCTGGTTGAGTAACCGAGTCGATTCAAAAGTACTAGTCCAGAGTCGTGGTTGACTGGTTGGGGGTTGTACCGCCGGAACACTAGGAGGGGGGGAGGGGGTGGACTGTGATGCCATAGACTAGGGGAAACTTTGGGGTCTAGTGAAGAGGACCGAAGATATGAGATACAAGAATGAGCCATAGAAATTTGTTGTCAGGTTAAGGTTTAAGACAAAAGTGAGTTATTTTTCTGTATTTTGTTAAACTGTAGGAGTTAAGGAGAGCTTAGGAGATAGAGGTGCAGGATAAGAGTTACAGAGTTACAGGAGCAGATAAGAGTAGGAGTTACCTTAACTCTCAGGAGTTAAGAGGTGTGAAGGAGTTAACTTTCATCAAATTTTGACATCATTAAAGACCAGTCAGTTCACATCTTTACTGTACTTGGCTTGGGATTAGACTATACTCGCTGGAGCACATTTGTATTGACACCTGGTCCCGGACAGCATACTGTGGCTCTTGCACTCTTTTCTCAGATTGGAGTGGAGGAGTTATGTCTGAAGACTCCCAAGGCCGGACGACATTTGTTAGCTAGCCAGAGCCTCCGTGACCACCAGGTCGGAGCAGTACTCTCTCAAGGTCGTCCCTTGTGGGGAAATCTGCCAGGAATAA